CAATAATAAATCAATAAACCGTAGCCCTTTTTTTTTTTTTTTTTTTTTTTTTTCCGGCTTGTTTGAATGAAATTTTTTTTTTTTTTTAATCGAATATAAATATCAAATCGAAATTCTTTTACTTCGAAAAAAAAAAAAAAAAAAATTCTTAATTGCGTTCATGTTTTTTTTTTTTTGCCTCGCACAATAATTTTCACGAGTTTCGCAACGAAACATTTACTTTTCTCTCTCTCTCTCTCTCTTTCATTCCAAAGTTGGCACGCCCGGAGGTTAGGTTACGAACGGCAACACGAACAAAAAAAAAAAAAATTAAAATAATAATAATAATAATAATAATAATAATAATAATAATAATAATAATAATAATAATAATAGAGAATAGCCTAAATAAAATTGCAGACTGCGTGGAACCAAACGTATCGGAGTATGTAACGTAAAAAGGATTATAACACTCGTGTTATTGTTATAAGCAAACAATTTCTTTTTATAATACAAAAAAAAAAAAAGAAGAAAACTTTTCGCATTCGTGTTTTTCATTTAAGGCGGTTTAGGCGGTTTTTTTTTTTAATATTAATTTTCAATATATATATATATATATATATATATATATATATATATATATATATATATATATATATATATTAAATATATCTAAATCTGGATCTGAGAAATCTCCATATCCTTCGGTATGGCGTGAGAGCAAGCGTAAAGCAAGATTTCATTTTTTTTCCCTCTTTTTTAATTTATGTATTTTATTATTATTATTATTATTATTTATTAAACCTGTCAGTGATTTCATTATACGAGATATAATGGTTCGCGTCGAATACAAAAAAAAAAAAAAATTTGATCCGATTTCGATTATTTGCATGAATCTAATCGATCGATCGTTCGATAGATCGAATCGTTTGTTAATCAATAATAAAATGTTTAATTTTTCGATTCCGTTTTTAGATTATTATAAAAAAAAAAAAGTTAAAAGTTAAAATTTATATATTAAAATTCGTGTCACGAACCGAAATAAACGATTGTATTAAACCACAAACAAAAATAAAAAAATTATGCGAAACGCAAACCAGAATTTTTTTTCGTTTGTTTGTTTGTTTGTACGGTAAAATCAGAACGCATACTAACAAAGGTTTTCTTTTTTTTTTTAACTCACAACACTTTTGGTGGGAAATTCGTTTCTCTCTCTCTCTCTCTCTCATTTTTCGTACATATGTTTTTCCAGGTTTTCGAGTAATAAAGGTTAACATTGTAAATATTGAGTCAGGGGTGACCCTTATACCGTACGCACACGCACACGCACACGCACGCATACACACACAGAGAGGCAAACTTTCATTAGACACATACACACCTTAAACACAACGCGTCGATTTCGATCGCTTCGAGCTTAAATCAAAAAAAAAATATTTAAAGCTTAGATGGATAATTACAACCTATTGAAAATTCAACAGACGCCATTTTCTTTTTATTTTTAAACACAAATATATATATTACAACACATTGAATTTTTGACAAACGAACCGTTCGCGAGTATTTTTCCATCGTAAATAATTATTTCTTTTATGAATGGTTATCACTCGAAGCGAATTTTTTTCCCTTTTCTTTTTTTTTTAATGACATAAATAAGTTAAAACCAAAATAATAATAATAATGATAATAATAATAATGATAAATAATTTCAATTAAAAATCATTACATTTTACTTTTTTACTTTTTTTTTTTTTTTACACCATTGAAATATTGCGTAAACATTTTCCCGTGTAAAAGTAATTAATAATTACTATCATTTATCAAACCTCTGAAATAAATAAATAATTATAACAATAAAAAAAAAAACAACCGTTAAATAATAATAATAATAATAATAACAATTTGCCCTTTTCGTTATTTAAACCTATTTTTTTACTTACGCCGACTCTATACGATTTACGCGAACCGCAAAAATTATTCGTAGCAAAGAAAAAAAATTATTATTAACGATGAGAATGACGATGGCGATGATGATGATGACGATGACGATGATGATGATGATGATGATAATTAGTAATTGAAGGAAACCGTTACGAACGAACGAACAAACGATACAATTCAATATTATTAATAATAAAAAAAAAAAAAGATGTATACTATTAATAAAAATGTCGCCTCGAGTTATGAGGGGGGGGGGTTAAAAAATAACTTTTTAAATTGTCTTTATCATTATTATTATTATTATTATTATTATTATTATTATTATTATTATTAGAGAATTTATATTAACAACAACGAGAATTTAATTTTATACTTTCTCATTCGGTAAAGCGACGAAAAGACAAAACGAAGAACAATGGTGAATTATTGCGCGGGGGGGGGGGACACGTTAATAATAAATTCAGACGAAAATTAAAAAGCATAATAATAATAATAATAATAAAAACTCTACGCATTTTACTCCTTTCCCCCCACACCTCCCCCCTTTCTCTCTCTCTCTTTTTTTTTTAACCGAAAAAAAATGTGAGCATGAGTGCGTGCGTATATCAATATTGTATGTATAAAGTTTTATTTTTATTTTTATTTACAGATATGCATCATCAGAGTCGTTTTGTCTTTTGCGGTGTCCTCGTGTTGTCCATGCTCGGGTGTTGCCTAGTCCACCCCGCTTCGGTTCTCGGACACCCCCTTTCCAAACGATCATTTTTTGACATACAATGTAAAGGAGTCTATGACAAAAGTATTTTCGCAAGACTCGATAGAATTTGCGAGGACTGCTATAATTTATTTAGGGAACCTCAATTGCATTCTTTATGCAGGTAAATCATTTTTTTTTTTTTTTTTTTTTTTCCGACACAAATCGACGGTAAATTTACGAGAGAGAGAAAAATAATAATAATAATAATCAAAGTTGTTGAAACGTGTTTGTTTCTCGTGTTTGTTCGTAATGAACAAAGTTAATAATTGTTTTAATAACAACAACAACAACAACGATGCTTTTTTCTTTTTCGAACGGTAATAAAAAATTTTTCAAATTTATTTAAAGCTCCTGCCAAGACAAACAAACAAACAACAAACGTTGTTGTTTTTTGTTACAATAATAATGCAAGTAATGAAAGGCCGCATAAAAATCTTTTACCTAATAAAAAAATTTTTTTTTTTTTTTTCCTGAGCTAAAAATAAAATTTGACATGACTTGCAACATGAAAAATGAAAAACGTTTTTTTTTTCTTCTTCATCTTCTTGTCATTAAAATCGCGTGAATAAAATTTTTTTATTTTTAATACTATTTAAAAACTTCATTATTATTATTATTATGTAAAAAAAAAAAAAAAAATTAATTGCAATCAGTATTAAAAGTCAAAGAACAGATAGATAGAACAACAACAACAACAACAACCAAACACGCATAAAATTGATGGTGGGGATATAAACTTGCTACCTATTCAAAACCTATTCGAAACCTAAAGACTCAAGGTCTGAGCTTTTGATTTACAATTAAAAGTGACCTTTCAAATTGTTTCCCATCACAAACAAACAAACAAACAAACAAACATCGTTGAAATAAATGCAAACCTTTGAATTTTCTTGTTTTTTTTTTTAATAAAACGGATAAAAATCAATCAATTCAACGTTGAGATTTACTTACTTTTCAAAAACTTTTTAAGTTCAACACGATGAAAAACAAACAGACAAACAAACAAACAACAACAACAACAAATTGGCACATATTCTCAAACATTTATTAATATATATGTATATTACAGGAAAAACTGCTTCACAACCGATTACTTCAAAGGATGTTTGGATGTGTTACTTCTCCAAGACGAAATGGAGAATATTCAAACCTGGATAAAACAATTACACGGGGCAGACCCGGGGGTTTAGGTATTTTTTAAAATTTTTTTTTCATTTTTTTCATTTTCATCCCAATTTTTAAATCACCAACTAATCCTTCATAACATTTTTTTTCGTTTTTTTTAAAAATAACTAAAAAAAATAATCACGTGACACACATTTTCATTTACACACACACACACACACACAACCATGTAAATAAATATTTAATCATTCACCAAGAAATAAATAAATAAATTTATATATATATAAAA